ATGATCAGCAAAATGGAGAAAGACGCCAAACGTCGCAGAACCAGCCAAGGAACCACCGCAGCTGGCTACTCCAGCGAAGCCTCCGAAACGGAGATGGATGACCTGCAGCTGCAATTTCTAGCTGACATTTTCGCAGTCTTCGTGGACAACCCGGGGATGGTCAGCGGTGAGGACGGATTTTTTCTCTTGATTTTGAGACATTCGAGGCGGCTTTGAGGAACCACCACAACGTAGATGCCCATGAGCTGCACAGCAAGTGGGAGATTTGCGCAGCCCGTGCGGGACTCAACAAGTTTGAGAAGCTCCCCGTACACGAACTGTACAGTCTTTTTGTGGATTTGTGCTCATTTTGATAAATGATGTTAAATGTTTTCGCCAATGAACTTGCCCCAGGCAGAAACGGCTACTCAGCTTGCCCCAAAATGAAGGGTGTGGGGGCTCTGCATTTTTCTTGTTTCAGAGGTGGGCGCTGGAATGCTCAGTTCCCGCTGTGAGGTTTGGACTTTCAGTATCTTGTCAGAGTGGTTTGTTTTGATGCAAGTCCACTCCCCCCACATCATGCCGCTTTTGAATCTGCCTCCCGGTGCCGCTAGCTTGCTTCTTTTGGCATGAGCTTGCTGCTTACTCAGATCTCGTCAGCCGCGTTAGCTTAGCAGCAATTTGGCTGGTTTTGAGACGCCAGGCGTAACCTTAGCGCTCGCTCGGCGTCCCAGATGGCGAAGCAGTACGCCGCGTGGTTGACTTGGTTTGCAATCTGAGGGGTTTTCGTGTCAAATCTGATGTTCCAGAAGTGGTCGGCCCATTGAGGCCGCCGATGCAGCATTGGCCCTCAACTTCGAGGCAGAAGGCACAAACGGTGTGTGGAGGAGGGCGGCTGGAAGCTCCCTCCGCGAACCCTAAACCCTAAACCCTAAACCCTAAACCCTAAACCCTAAACCCTAAACCCTAAACCCTAGACCCTAGACCTTACCTTAGTGTCTCTTGGCAAGCTTGAAGGTTCAGGGCCCCCTTAAACCCGAAACTGCAAGTTCAGAGGTTCAGGGCCATGCCAGTTTCCGCGTAATATACGGGCCTGAAAATATAAGGACCTAAATAATTACACTAGATTATGCTGGGGGTTCCTTAGTAGAATTATCGTAGAATATACTCCAGAACCTATTCTAATTATTAAGGCCTCTAGGTTAATTCTGACTCGTAATCCTTGGAGTTCCGGGTGCTATCTTGACTCCCTTCAGTCAGTTCTCCAATGCCCAACCTTCGGACTTTTTCGGTGTTCTTATAGGACGGTCTAGGGTTTAGGGGTTTAGGGTTTAGGGTTTAGGGTTTAGGGTTTAGGATTTAGGGTTTATAGTTTAGTAGTCGTCTGAAGCTTTGCCTATGTTTTTTCCTGTGGCGTATTGTGGAAGTGAGTCGTCTGAAAGCCTGAATCCCAGGCACGGGCTCCCGAATCCCAGAAAAACTCCACGAAGCGCCGGCAAAAGAGAGAGGCCAACAGCCAGATTCCTAAAACTAAAACTCCACCTAAACCCTAAACCCTAAAACTCCACCAACCTCTCCAAAAAATGAAGGCCGGGACCGGCCTGGGAGCCGCCGGGGGGCTGAGCAACGACTAGTCAGTTTAGATTCCCGGAGAGCCCAATACCCCTTAAATAAGGAATAGACCTCATTTCATAATATTAAGGCCCCTATAATTTAAGGTATATTCTTTATTCAAGTGGTATTCGGCTCTCCGGGTTCAGGTTTAAAAGGTTCAGAGTTTAGGGTTTAGGGTCAAGAGTGCGTTTACTCTGGGCTTCTGCCGGCCTTGATACGGTGCTAGTAGGTTTTTTTTGTATACGGTTTTCATTGAGTTTTCATGGCCTTATTGGCTGTTGGGACTTACTTTGCGGCTCTGGGAGTCAGGGTGTTGATGCAATTTCAAAGTGCCGGAATCCTTTCCAGAGTTCAAGCCTTTCCGCTTTACGACTTCGTTGAAGCTCCTGCGTGGCGTAGGGCCACGCATCGTCTCTTGGCTGTTGGGTTCAAGGGTTTGGGGCTCAGGGAAGTACCATGATTGCAAGAGTCCCAGCAGCCGTGCAGCTCGTTCACTCAGCAGGTTTACGTTCACAGCTCCCCGTTTGCGAATGGTGGGACCACGCCATGCTAGTGAGCTCTCCATGATGCCACGGAGTGAAGTTTCCAGATGGCAAACCACTCTATCATGGGTTGCAGCACACACTGCTTCCTACCGGCCCTGGTGAGAACTTCAGTGACTAGCTATACTGTAAACCATAATTAGCAAGGTGTCAAACTCGGCTCAATATGCATTGAGTGTGCAGGCCCTCGAAACTCGGCCGTATAGACTCTATAGACAACTTTTGGGGCTTGTGCAGTCGCCTGATTCCGCCAGGATTGGTTTTTTGCCCCATGGAGAGTTGGGAAGTAAGTAGAGAGGACCTATCACTATGGTCCATTGGTTTTAGACCGTTGAGCTGTCTGATTTAATATGTGTGAACACTGGGACCCTCACGAGAGGAGCCATTGTGAGAAGCAAGGTCGCGGCGGGGACAACCTTTCAGCTGCCAACACCGTGGCAGGCCAACCTGTTGTGGTATGTGTTTAGCTCATTTCAACTACGTGAGGTTTATAAGTATCCTGGAAGTCCGGTTGTAGCTACCTTAAGAAGCCCGAAAACTTCAAAACAAAACGCAAACCTTATAAACGCTGAGCCCCAACCTTCATAAACCCTAAGCCTCATAAGCTCTAAACCCTAAACTTCATAAACCCTGAACCTCACAAGCCCTAAACCTCATAATCCCTGAACTCCGAAGCTCACATACCCTAAACCTGACCCTCAACATCCCTAAACCCTAAGCCCTAAACCCCCTAAACACTAAACCCTGAACCCCCTAAACCCTGAACCCTAAATCCTGAACCCCCTAAACACTAAACCCTGAACCCCCTAAACCCTAAACCACAAGGCTTCAGTCTCAGCTCGGATACTCGAAGCCACTGGCTCTGAGGCGCACACCTGACATGAGCAGCCCGGTGTGAAGAACTAGAAACTAGGGCTCAGGGTTTAGGGTTCAGGGTTTAGGGTTCAGGGTTTAGCGTTTACGGTTTAGGTCTCCCAGTGCGCCCCCTTTGTTTCCCTTTTTATGGTCTTCGGTTCCTTCATGAAGCTAGCCATTACCAAAAGGCAGCCCCTTTGAATCCTGGTTTCTGGGGATCCTACAAGATAGATATTTCTCAGGATTCAGGATGTGGGGTTTCAGGGTCTCGGGCGTTTAGGGCTAAGGGATAGTAGTGGTATGGCGTCTATATTCGGGTTTACAGCTGGTTTTTAGCGTAAACAGCACGTACTGGCAGTTCCTCATACCATACCCGTAAACTTCAAACTTGACTCTAAGCATCACGGCCTCCATATTGATGCAAGATGGGAAGTGAAGCGCCTCCCCTCCCAAAAGCGCAAGACAACACACCCAGAACCCGAAATCCTGACCCCCTCTCCCCTCTCGCCCAGAACAAAACCAGGCGCGATTCTCTCACTCTAAAAGTTGCCACAGTCATAACCTCAGTAGCATCCCTGTGTAATTTAGAGCTGGAGTGGTCATACAGCCAGGCTGTGAACGCTGAAATTAAGCTTGCTCTCGCACCTTTTGCCCTAAACCCCGAAGCCCCTAAAACTCCTAAACCCTCTAAACCCTGACCTCCATCTACGGCATGTACTCAACTAGCCATGCCGCCAACAGCCGGGCAGTGGTGATGGAGGCTTCAAATGGGTTTAGGAAAGTTTAGGTTTTGCCTGTTGGTTTGTCTGTTTTTTTTATGAGGGGACGAGTGTTCGGAGCTTCGTGGTCAGTCATCTTACGCAAGGCTTAGAGTTTCAGCGCTTCGTATCCGAGCGCAGGATTTGGGGAGCTGGGTTGGGATGCAAAGCAGTTCCTTTGACCCGGCGACTGGTAGGGCTTGCATGGATTTCGAGCTGCTTGTGTTTGGAACAAGCCCCGTCTCTTTCTGCGGTCTGCAACGTGGATAAAGCAGTGGGGCGATAAGCTTTGTTCCAGCATTTTAGCGGTTCCCTAGGCTGAGCTGATTCTGCGCTTAGAATCAGTTCTGCCTTCGATCTCTGTTGCAATGCCCCGGGAGGTGCGCATGGCACCACCGCTGCTTTCCTAGAGACATCCTTCTCGGGACATCTGACGCTGTAGAGTCTGTAGAGTTTCGGTTTTGGGTATCCTTGTAGGAGCTCCATAACTTGCGGACAATAATTAGTCTAAACTTGAACTTAAACTTAAACTGGATTATAGGCCGTTAATTAGTCGGTTGACACGGCTGATTCCTAAGATGTACTTGGGTCAGCGCCAAGAAGTCTCCAGAAGGATGTCTTGTGTAGTGGCGGGGAAAGGAAGCAACTCAGCTGCTCGGACGATGCAAGTCCTCTTCTCTCTGAGGTCTACTTGGAGGATCATGGGACTTAGTAACTAGGGTTATAAATAAGGTAACCAAAGTTATAACCCCAATTAGGGTACTTATAACCTTACTTACTAAGTCCCATGATCCTCCAAGTACGGCTGTATACGGCGCTTCAGATTTCAAGATTGGTTGCTTGCGGGTGCAGATGAAAACCGTGTGCTTGGGTTTAGGGGTTGGGGTCAAAGAGCCTTCGTTCAGGATCATGGAAGAGGTGTTTCTGCAGCTGTGAGGTGTGAAAACGTGGTACATGATGATTGCTTGTATCCTCCGTTTGAACCTATCGCCACCATCTCCGCCATCGCCGCACTGAAGCTAGCACCTACAGCAGCACCCCTGCCACCACCATGACGACAGCAGCTATTGACTGCTACCGCAGCTGATACTGCTAACACTACTACGACGAGGACACCGATAGAGCTATCTCTGAGGCTACAGCGGCTGCGACGCCATAGCTTCCTTGTGACTGTGTTTGCTGTGTCGGTTGCTGTTGCTGGCGCGATGCTTGCATCAGTCAGCTCCGGAAGATCAGGTTTTGTGCGGGATCGATGAGCTCAGGCGCTGCTGGAGATGGGAAACTTGGCGTCGTTGAACCTTCGTGCTCGAGGGTCCAGCTGTTACGTCCTGTCATCTCTGGAACTTCCATCCAGTCGTCGGCACGGGAGGCTTGGGAAGGATCCTGACCAGAAAACTGGCTACCCAATGTTAGAGCCATTCAGAGTTCCTTTAAGGGCTTAGGGTCCAGCAGGGTTTAGGGTTCAGAAAAGCACCATGGAGACTACAGGTAACCTCGTAGCTTAGCCCATGAGACAAGATCAGGACCTGGCGAGGTGCCTTGGCAACCTAGAAGACCATTTAAGGGGACCCCAAAAAAGCTCCAGTCCCCTTTAAAGGAACCCTTAGCAGAGCCCTAGAAAGGACAACACTCTCCGATCTCTTGGCCGGCAGAAAGCCGAACATTCGCCGTTGCAACGAGGCCCCGGCTTCTTTGGTGCAGGGTTTCTTTAGCTGGGACATGGAGTGAAAGGTGACCCTGATATGTGGACTTGGAGTGAAAGGTGGCCCTGACATGTTGCTAGTTGGATCCTTATCTAAAACGGACCCTCAAAAATACATCACCGTTTTTAAGAATCATAAGAAAAGGACCCTTAGATAAGGTACCCCTAGTACTTTAAAGAACGCCCCAAGTAGGAGCACAAAACTGGGCGTGTTCGCTGTTCTGCTGTTGCCGGTGGCTTGCCCCTGTTATCTTTGTCAAAGTTTCTTTTCGAGATTACGCCTTAAGTAGGCTCCAGGGTTTAGCTTTGAAGCTTCAGAAAATTTGGTTCCCCTAAACCACAAGCTCTAAACCGAAACCCCATAGGGCTACTACCCCCGTTTTGCTCCAGGCTTTGGGCACTTTGGCGGCCTCCGGCCGCTGGCAGGAGATTCTTCAACTCTTTGAGGCCTCCTTGTTTAAGGGGTACGGTAGGAGTTACTATAGGGTTTAGGGTTTAGGGTTAGGGTAGAGTTTACTATAAGGGGTCAGGGTTTAGGGTTAGGGTAGGGGTTCCTTTAGGCCGCTACTTTGTGGCGTCCCTTTAAGGGTGGGTTTAGGGGCTACTAAGAAGAGTTTACTAAAAACCGTGACTTTAGAGGGTTGCTACAAGGGATACCATATGGGTTTTGAAAGAATACTTTAGGGGTTACGATAAGGGGCTTGCTATCAGGGCTATTTCCCTCGAATTTTCGCGGTTTAGACGTTCTTAGGTTCCCAAGCATACATACCCTTTTACCCTTTCTACTTTGGGGTGTCCTTGTTAAACAGCTTGTTAAGATGAACAATGTGAAGAAATGTACCCTACTCTTGGGCGAATACCCACAGCCAAGAATTCAAAAAGGATCAAAGTCAGCACTGCTGCCATTGACTTTAATGAACAGGGAAACTGTGGCCACCATAAGTCTTGTTATTGCCTCTGTTTTTACGAGTCATGTTTCGCCGGTCTTGCGAACGGCTTATCTGCCGTGCATTACTGTCATACGATAATCAGTGTTGTTCTTGTCGGCCGTGCGCTTGCAAAGATGGGGCTTGGCTAAAGATGAACAGCATTGCTTCAACGCCTCTTTAAGGTTTCACTATACTATACAGCCACATGAGATCCGCTTCTGGCTCTATTAAGCCCTATTCGAGCAAAGACATCCGCAAATCCTATTCATATACGCGGTGAGCCATAGTCCCTAAGCCAAGCTTATTAAGGTGTTACTAAAGAAGCCAATACTATTGCGTAGGGTCCCTTTTAAACGAAGGGACTCATTCTAATTATGATAGCCTCATACAAGGGTGTGTTAACCTTTTAATAACTATTCTGAACTCTCTGTTCTTTGCATTGTTGGTGCGCTGTATACCCCAGACCCTAAACCCCAGACCCTAAACCCCTGCATGAACGCTAAACCCTAAATCCGAAACCCAAAACCAGAAGCCCTACATGTGTTTGGTGCTCATGGAGGTCCTACCGGCGCGAAAGCTTCATCCGGATGTGGCGACCTGCAGCACAGGAAGCGGCAAGAAGGTAGGGTTTAGGGTTTAGGGTTTAGGGTTTAGGGTTTATGGTTTAGGGTTTGGGTTCCGAGCTTCTTCGGATTCCTATCTGCAAGGGTTCCTTTACCTGAGGCTTCCTATGAAGGGTTTCTAAAAGCGTTCTTATGAAGGGTTTTGCCTGGGGGACTTAGGTTTTCAGGGTTTAGGATTTCAGGGTTTAAACATGGCCCTACTAAAATATTATGGGGCCGTGTGGCTGTTTTTATGCATTAGGGGTTGGATTTTGTAAGTTTGCAGTTGCTTTAGGTGTGGACTTTAGGGTCAACTGTTTGTTTTTTGCTTTACAAGACAAGGTTCTTGGCATGGTCTCTGGTTTTGCACATTGCTGTCGGATTCACGGTCGTTTTGTGTCGTGTGCTGACCTCTTCCACGGGTGGGAGGCAAGTCTGACATTCAAGCTGCAAATGCCTGTAAACAAGATTTCGAGCTGGCGTCTCCCTGGCTTAGGGAACCCAGACACTCCTAAGGAAAGCCTCACAGACAACCAAGGCATTGCCATGCGAGCCTGCGCCCACGGCACGCAGTGGGTCTTCGCTTTGCAGCTCTTGTGCCTTGCCTGTGCTTTATAAGATACGCAGATACTGACAACCAAACCCTAAACTCGCAGCTCGCTCGCATTCAAGATGGCGCACGAGCTGAAAGCTCGAGACTTCGCAGGGTACATATGAAGATACGTTGTAAGCCTTGGTTCTTCGAACCTCTGCGAGTCGTGAAGCCTGCGCAGCCAAGGTTCCAGATGCCCAAATACCTGGTGCGGCCGAACACCATTTCTTTCAACACGGGGATGAGCGCGTGCAGCTTGGTCTGTGTGGGACCTGTTCATCGCGATGTACCGGAGCCCAAGAACCAAGAGCAAAGACTTCGAAGCGTGTTATCATTTGCTGTGATGCCGAAACCGGAAGAAGCTGAACCCCACAACAATCAAACACATGACCACCTAGTCGTTTGGGTTCGGCTCACACCATGGTCCTGAAACACTTGCAATTGAAACGAATATCACATCTATCCTGCATCGTCGGCGTTAGCAGGAGGGCGCCAAACTCGATATCATTAACGAAGGGAGTGACTAGATGTAATTGATGTAATGATAGAGTTCCTTTGGTGGTAGTGGTGGAGGTGGTGATGGTGGTGGTGGCGGTGATAGTAGTGCAGGCGCAGGCGCAGAGGCGCAATCGAAGTCGCCGTCGTCGTCGTTGTCGTCGTCCTAAATCTAGATTCCCCAGTAGTAGTTGTTGTTGGGCGCCCGTATAAAACCCAACTGCGAGTAGTAGGAAAAAGGGCACCCTTGTCATTAGGGGGCTACTTGGGAACGTGGCAATAGTAGACAGAGTAGGAGTAGCTCCCTGGAGTAGGAGTAGGACTGGGAGTAGGAGCAGGACTACGTAGGAGTAGCAGTTGTCGTCGTCGTCGTCGTCGTAGTAGCAGTGGTGATAGCTGAAATAGTAAGTAGTAATGAGTAGTCGTGGTAGTAGTAAGTACTACCACCACTACTAATTACTTTAGTCGTCGTCATCATCAACCCCAAGCCAGATCAAGGCACCAACAGTGGACATTGGGAGCGAGCCTGGAGCCTTGTGGCCAGCATGCGACACGCTGGACCCACGCTACTGGTACGTTGTGATTTGGGGGGGTTGAGGGTTGAAGGTTCAGGGGTGCTCTTCTGTAGAGCTTGAGATGCTTTCTGATAATAGAGTCGACTCTCATCGCACAAGGTTTCCCTATGTGGTTTTCAAGTATGGTCACACAATAGCCACAGGCTTCCCTAAACCCAAACCCAAAGTCCCAAACCCCTAAACTCCGAGCACTAAATGCTCCTATTTACGACATTCTACGTCACTCATCCTAATATACCCCCTTCAAGAAGCCCAGTTCCGTTGTTCCACAGCCTGAGAGACAGGAATTTCTCCGGACAGCACCGGCTTCAACACTTGCAGCAACGTCTGCGCATCTGTGGGCGCCTGGGGGGCAGCGGTGTCACTGCTGGCCCAGTCCGTGTTGGCTCAGGCCGGGCCTCTTCAAAATGAGGGCCTAGGGCCTTGGGTCCAAGCAATAGAGGGGCCTCGATGACTAGAATAGGGTTTTGGGGCCCTACTCATAACAAGGAACCACCAAAAAAGTATTGGTAATTATTTTAGGCCCCTTCATCCGAGCTTCTGGGCTGTTAGGAACCTTGGATCCTTATGGATCCTCCTGCTTAGGGTTTAGGGGTTAGGGACTCTTAGTAGTAGAGTAGGTAACCTTTCATCTTTTTGGGGTGCGAGAATCCCTTTGTAATACTAAAGGGTAACCTTTAGTTCCCCTTTGGTACTGGACAAGTACGGGGTTGTAAGTCAAGCACCTTTTGAGGTTTAGGGCCTAGGGTTTCGGGGTTAGGGCTTTTGGTGCTGTGGGGCTCCAGCTTTCAGAGTTCACGGTCGACACCACCCATTGGTGGCAGCTCGATGTACAGTAAACTTTTGTTGAAGCAGGCACCTGCAGACCCCATGCTCTAGAGACGCCAAGCCCTAAACACTGCAAGCCTTAAATCCCAAACCCTACACACCGAAGAAAAGGGTATCCGGCACCTTAAACCCTGAATCTCCGCACGATAAACGAGCCCGAGTATAGACAAGCCCCGAGGTTTCTCCGGACGTGCACCTGGGCTACCAGTGATGGGGACGGGGTATGACAGGACTACAGTAAACCCCGAAAAGTTGGAAACCGGATTAAGGACAAAAATAGTGCTGGGATTCCCTATACATTGCTCTTGAGGATTGAGGCTATTGGGTTTCCAACTTTGGGGCGTCTACTAAAAGCCAATGTAGACCCCTGATGGATAAATCCTTCACGGTAAGGATCCTTACGACCGTTTCTACGAAGGAATCGGGGTCCTGAGTGGACGGTCGACAGTCTCCAGTGCTAGAGAGAGAGCAGACACGAGAACGACAGATGCGGAAACAGAGCCACCCACACAGACGTCTGCATTCGGGAAAAGAGTCTGGTATACGAGGAGCAGCAACGCTCTTAAGGAGGGTTTCACTTAAGCAGAGGTGCAACAAAGCAAACAACTAAGATGGCTACATGGATTGGTGGATGAGACTGGACACTAAAGCAAAGCTACATACACTCCTAACCTTCAAAACCCCTCAAAAGCCGAAGCCCTGAACACGCAAATCTCTGCCTTGAACACCACAATATACCCGCAAAGTCCAAATATCATAGTTGCAGCGTCATATACCCCGAAATAGATTTCCAACTTCCATGCCCCCTATAGCAAGCCCTACAACAGTCTGTACAGACTCTATACATTTCTGTTCATGTTCTTGTGATGACCATTACGATGCTTCTCAGTATCATTATTATCATGATGCCTATCATGATGATCATCATGATTATCGCCACGATGAGGAGAGGATTATCACTATCAGCATCAAGAAGAGTCCGTTTTTCAGCGTCCGAAAGCAAGTGAGGATTGGTTTCAACAGCGCGCTGAAGGGCTGTGCAGTGGCCGAGGCGTGGCAGTCGCCCGGCAAGGAAAGGACACTTTGACAGAGTCGTTCAATTAATGCCCTTACCAGGGTTTACGTGGGGGTTATAGGCTGTGCATAAGAGCTCTAGAAGAGCTCCTGTAGTTGGGGTTCATAGGTTCTTTGCTATACTAAGGTTTCTGGAAGGGTTTGACAGGGTTCATGGGTTTTTACAAGGGTTCCAGACGGGTCTTTCATAACGGTTGTAGAATCACAGAAGGGATTGTCAGTTGGGCGTGTAGGGTCTCATTGGGTACTGGAAGATTTGGAGCTTATGGACAGTTCTATAGGGCACTGCAAAGGTTCAACAAGCAGAACCATGAGGGTTTAGGGCAAAGTTTAGGGTCTATAGGGTTCCGTGTTTTGGGGCTCAGGCTCTTGTATGGTTTAAGGGACTCAGTTTGTTGAGGCTCGACAATAGTCTTCAACCAGGGTTTAGGGTTAGGGGTTGAGGCCTTTGTGCAACGACCCAGCTTCAAGGAGTCTTTGTATGGTGCTGTTAAACCATCTTCAGCATGAGCCTTTGGGGCTTCAGGGGTTGGGTTTTTAGGAATTAGGGTCTATAGGGCTTTGGGGGTCACACGTTGATATCAGGCCGCGTGGC